TTTTTTTAATTATTATTATTATTCAATGGCATGGAAGTAGAAATAGAAAAAGTAGAAATCCATAGAAGAAAACCAAAAAGTTTCAAAATTTGGCTCACATGTATTTTTGTAAATAAATTCTTTTGCAACACAAACCAATTATCTATTATCCAAGTCTTTTTTTTAATTACTATGCCAGAGCTCAATAGTTTTGACATAGATTGAAAACTATGTCAATAGTTGGGAAAGTTTGTTCCCTACTTCTCTAGAAAGAGATTTTCAAGTACCCGTTATGGTTTATATTTTTAAAAGTTTGAAAATTGGGCCCTCCCTGGTGGCGCAACGGATTAAGTCGTAGCAAGCTGCAGTCCTTCAGTGCGAGTTCGATCCCCAGCCCCAGAGGTGACCACACAATGAGGTAGACCTTTCCTGACGTGCCCGCTGCTCCCTTCAGCAGTGTACTTCGCGGATCAGCCTGCTCGGCACCCCACTCTGTCTCTGGTGAATCCTCTCACTGCCCCTTCACCTCTGGCTTGTACACCAGTTCTGTATGAATAAATGAATCTTTTATTTAAAAAATTGAAAATTATGAAATTAGAAAGGGTGTTTAAATGTTTAAAAGATTTTCGGTTTTAGAAAATGAAAGCTGTGAGTTTCCAAGGATTATTTCAAGTAACCTGTGTAATAAAGGCAAATAATATGAGACAGCAGGAGAAAGGGAATTCATTTCAACAATGGGAACCATGAAATATCCAGAAACAAGCTCCCCTACATTCTTATTTACATGGAGATATATATATATATATATTTCAACTCTGGTGAAGCTGGAGAAATTTCATGCAGAGTCCTATCAAGTAGAAACAAGCAAAGAAATCATGGTCTCACTTGCAAGTTGACATTCAAATATTAAATTAATTACCCCTAGATACCACTTGGAATTATGAACTGCAATCAACTTACCATAACTTATTAGTTAGTTAGATCACTGTCCTTATTATTGCCAATAGTCAAAATCTGGCAGTGAAGCATCTCTGGATATAAGCAAAGAACTCTCAGTCCATCTCAAGAAACTGTCTTTATTATCAAATTTATATCACATTAGTAGCATCTAAGAGTTAACTATTAGAATGAGTATAAAAAGGATTATTTGTCTGTGAATTAAATCCTTAGTTATTTTATTAGGAATCAAAATCTTTGTTCAAATTCAATATCTAGAGACTCTGGATATTTAATTCTAACTGAAGGTTGAAGCTGAGTTCCAATATATGCCCACAGCACTTTCCATAAAACCAAAATAATATTCTGTGCACCAGTCTTTACAAGTTTACACACATCAAAACTTTAAGAAAAATACGAATGACTTCTTAAATGAATGATCGAACCCATATCTGGATCAACAAAGAGAGAAATCTACTGAAGAAAAATCAAGTTCTTCAAGTAGGAGACAGAAACATTCCACTGCAAGCCACATAGTCCTACTGAACTTGCAGTGAACAACACAAGGAAGGACTGACTGTGTGATGTGTGGTGTCCCTACGATTGGGTACCAAGTTGCTGCAGGACAACCCCAAGAGATTTGGGGGTGATGTGGTGTGTACTCATCCTTAAGCTTCAGAACGTGGGACAAGATCAAGAGCAGCAACCACAGAGAAATTTTTAAATGTTTTATTTACAAAGGGAGTGGGAAAAGAAAGGGAGGTAGAGAGAAACATTGAGTGATATTTTCAAGCAGTAATATTATCTGCAATGAGATACCAGCTTGTAAGTCAAACCCAGAATTGCAAAAGAGTGCAAATTCACTCAGGTTTCAAGGCAAACATGGCTGCCTAACTTTCCCATAGTTGTTACCTGTTCAGTAAACCAGGATAATGGAATGTTGGGAGCTATAATCCAAGGTGGCTTGGAGATAGGTATAGAATCTGTAAAGATGTGAAGGGGTGGAGTTCATTCAGCATTTGAATCATAGGCTCAATTTGCTCTTTCCATTATACTAGCAACTAGGAGAGAACTAACTACACACTTTCATGAACCCAATAGAATACCTAGCAATCTAAGTATAGGAACCTACAACAAGACACATGATATGAAAGTGTCAATATTTGAACATATAGATATGTCCAGAAAGAACTAATTTCCAGAAATGTGAGATAATGATATCTCTTCCAAATTTAGTATGCGATACACAAGACTGAAATAATGTTGATATGTCATTTCATGTGAATTTTTGTTTTATTTAAATTTCCACAAAGAAAATGTATAAAATCATGTGCTATGTTGACTATGCAATTATCAAAATGCCATTATAATATTTACCAATGCTTTATATTTCAAGTGCAAGTGAAATTCATTATTTTTAAAACATTTCAGAAATACGAAAATCACACATATGATCAAACATAATTAGAAACACTTACAGATTCTATAAGTAATAATTGCAATGCCACTCTTTTTTATATTTATTTATTTATGCTCACAGAACTGGGGTACATGCCAGAGGTACAGGGGTGGTGAGAGGATTCAGCAGAGACAGAGTGGGGAGCAGAACAGGCAGATTGACGAAGTGCACTGCTGAGGGGAGCAGTAGGTGAGTCAGGAGAGGTCTGCCGCACCATGTGGGTCACCTCATGTGGGTGAGGATCGAATTCAGAGGCAGCTGAGACCAGCTTGCAGTGTTGCGTTCTAACCCACTGTGCCACCAGGAGGGCCCTTTTTCCTTCTCTCTGCTGTTTTTTTTTTTTTTCTTTTTTTTTTCCGGAATGCCATTCTTAAAGTGCATCTTCACTGCCCATTTCTGGCCCAAAAAACACCTAAATAGATTTTTGCTTGCAGATATAAAGGTTTTTCCATGAACAAGGTTGATCCCAAACACCACGGTTTAGATTGTATGTTATGCAGTTTGTTATGTTTACAGTTTTAAAAGATGAATATCTGTAATGAAAAATAAAAAATTAACATATGGAAAACGGAAATGAGAAAGTTTTCTTAAATAATACCTCTTGTTAAAGTATTTGAATGATTCTTTACATGTTGAGCTAATGTGTTTTTTATTCAATAGCCACAGTTTCAACAACTACAGAGCACAATATTATAGAATGAGGCTATTTGCTCAATCCACAATAGCACAGAGTTTGGGCACATTTTGTATGTTGCATTTTGTTTGAATGGATTTGATATATGATATATTCTGTTTCGATTTTTGCTCGACTGTACTAGTCTACAAGAACAAGAAAAGGAAGACAAATTGTATGATGCTGAAAATCCCATGTTTATCAATAAAAATGAGATTCACAAGCTACAAATACCCAGAAAATTAGCCTAAATTTTTTTTTAAAAAAAAGGAAGGAGGCAGTAAACAGAATATTGGACTCTAGAAAAATAATACTATCCTGGATACCTTTCTGAGGACAGTTCCTGTGAATATAGCTAACACCTGTACATCTGCATGCACAAAGCAAAAAAGCCGTGTCACAAATTATTTCATTGTCACAAGTACACAATTTTCATATTAATTGGCTTGGGTTTTCCACACGCACCAAGATTATTATTCTGTTGAATCAATTTATTCTTTATTCTCATGCACTAAAAACATTCTCTTAGCTACAGTCCATGGAGTGATTAGAACAAACTTACAAAGAACAGAAAAACCCTGGACGGGCAGGCACTTACAGGTCCTGGGACACATCTGAGCCATCCCCCCACTGCCAGGTGCCAAACTGTACATTGTAGGTTGCTCCAATCCAGTAAGTGTCTTTATTGAAGCTCATAAATTTCTGCTCGGAAACAGAAACAAGCAAGTTAACATAATTTAAATCTACTCTAGAAGAACGTTTCTTTAGAAAATTCAGTGTCCAATATCAGATTTAGTCTTTCTGTCACACAAAGTTAAGCATTTTTAAAGCTTGATTTAGAAGGTGGTACCAAGTCGACTTTTTCCTCAAATCAAGCCCATCTATTTATGGGGGGAAAATAACATAAAAACCTCAGCTCTTCACAGAATGAAACATTTATCACATATCTTGCTATATATTATACATTGTAGTATAAAGGGAGTTAGAATTTTCATGAAATGCTTACTTTATAGGATTCCAACATCAAAATGAACTTTTCATTGGTTTTATGGGATACATTTTATGGGTAAATACCTTCCCAACTTATATTCAACCCAAAATATGGTAAAGCTAGGGAAACATTGCACTTTTTCTTAAAACTTGGATGAATTTTGTGATCATACATTTCATTATTTTACATATCTAAATGATGACAAAATATACAGAATTACAAGATAAACTATCAAATTAATGGAAGCACTAGAATTCAGTTATTTAGCTTTTTTGTAAAGTACTCATATCGTCTTTGAATTCTCTCTAAAATATTCTTGTACCTTATCTGACATTTGTCTTGAGTTTTTTTCCCAATAACAAATCTTTGATAATTTCATAGGTTTTTTGATTATTTCAAACTAAAGGATATCCATAAGTTATTAATTCAAAAAATAATTATTATTATCTGATTAAAGACCTGAATCAATAATTATGCTTACCAAAATAGTACTGATTTTAGGCTAAAAAATATACATAAGAAACCATTTAAATACTTGCCAATTCATCTTTGTTGTACATATGAAGAAGAGTGGACTTCTGAGAAGCACAGAACTTTCTACTTTCATTCCAACTTTTTGCTTCCCTGGAAATGTAGTAACAGCTGCACTGGTACCCAATCCACCTTTCTTGACAAGAACAGCAGTCGGGGTCTAAGAAAAAATAAAGTATAACTCTTGACATTGGAGATTCTGGTTCTTTTAGTGTGCTTTACTTCTATAAAAATTGTTGACTTTTTTTCACTATATTTGTACAAATTCTGTGAAAATCTGCCACTTGGATGGTCTAGAAAAAGTTAAAAATGTTTTTCTGTTGAATCTTTTCTTTTTCTGTATCTAGTAAAACTAGATGGAGAAATTCATTTTCTAAAGGAAGATAAAGAAAACAATGTGCTTGTGATAGTGCCTTAAGAATTTACTAGCCCCGGTGACTAAAGTCCTGACACATAGTAAGCACTCAAATTTTTGCCAAATGAGTAATATTGAGGTTGTAGAACAGAAAGTGGTTACCAGGGGTTGGGAGTGGGTGGGGTGAGGAATGAAGGTATAATGAAGGATGGTTATAATTTTCCAGTTAGAAGAAAGTTCTGGCCCTCCCTGATACTGCAGCCGCTGAAGCATAAGTTCAATCCCTGGCCAGGAGCTGACCCACATGGCACAGGAGACGGCGCCTGTCTCGGCCCGTCTCTGACTGTGGAGATTCCTCTCACCGTCCCTGCACCTCTGGCCTGTACACCAGTTATGTATGCATAAATAAATTAAAGAGAAAAAAGTAAGTAGTGATTATGGGGTGTAATGGAGGTATTAACTGATAATATACTACCATCATATTATGTTATGCAAGTTTATCAAATCAACACATTGCATATCTTAAATGTACACAATGTTCTATATCAATTATTTTCTAAAGCTAGAAACTAATTGAAAGAAGAAAAAATAAAATAAAGTGAGAATATCACAGAAGATATTGAGATAATTTGTAAAATACATTAAATACTATGCTTTCAGACTGCTTTCACAGGTAAGTTAGGGCTTAGAACTTATGAAACTGGCCCTCCCTGGTGGTGCAACAGGTTAAGATGCAGCACTGCAAACTGGCCACAGCCACTTCAGTGCAAGTTCGAACCTTGCTCCAGAGGTGACCCACATGGCACAGCAGACTTCTCTTGTTTCACCTACTGCTCCCCTCAGTGTTCTTTGTTGATCTGCTCCCGACTTTGTCTCTGGTGAAACCTCTCAATGCACCTGCACCTCTGGCCTGTACCCCAGTTCTGTATGCAGAAATAAGTAAATCTTGAAAAAAAATAACTGATGAAATCTGTGCAGTACATTCTGAGTCATGGAAGATACATAAGCAAAGGTAACAATATAAATGTATGGGTTATGAGCAAACAGAGCTGGGTAATTAGGCAGATGAGAATTAACTGAGATATGTACCACAACCTACTTTATTTATTCACATGTCTACTTACTCATATGTAAGTGTACATATGAGCATACATGTAATATTATGTCATTTCAGGTTAATAGCTTCCTTAATTAAATATTTAAATGATGTGTGTTCAATGTAACTTAATAAATTTTAGGGTGGAAACAATGAATTGAGACTATCCTACAATTAATAGGTCAAATTGTATAATTGGATTAAAATATTCCATCATGTGTCTTTGAGAAAAAAATATGAAGTTACATATTTTATCCTTTACCAACCCAAAGTTTATAAGATATGGAACTTACTTTCCTGGGATTCATTAGTGGTTCCTGGAGAAATGACTCGTTCAACAGTTGAATTATGAAATACTGTAGAGACTGATTAGAAATAATTAGATGAAACTTTGTAAAACAATAAAATATTACACATTAGTAGATGAAATCTTTACTATTCAATAATTTCATAAAAGCTTTGAACTGATATAGTTGGCTAGAAAAACTTACACTTTTGCAAACATACAATGCTCAAAGTTGCCGTCAACAAAAGGCACGTTACTCCTAAGATCCCAGAAATCCACCTCCATCGAGTGGTATGCAAACCTGTAAAGAAAGAGAGGTAGGGTAATGACTTCAAAGAAAGACACAGGAACAGAATATCTCAAAGATAGAAACTAGCGCAAGAGAATCAAAAGAAAGTTTTTTTTTTATTTGGTACCCATTCATCTTGCCAACGAAATACTGAAAAAAGAAGACATTGTATGAAGATTGCAAAGAAAAAACTGTTCTTCTGTGAGATTATACATACTTTTTCTTTCTTGCAAATATGTCATGAAGGTTATTTGCCAGTTATTTATTTTTTTGGCTTAGAAATTTAGAGCTTCTGGAGTAGAAGAAAATAGACATTCATAGCAGACACTTACATTCTCCACAAAAGGCACAGGTGAAATGATTCTTATTAGGCAGATCAGAACATGCACAATGATTAATACTGTTATTTATTCAAGGTAACAAAGCTAGTAACAACTCAGAAATAAAATGAGTCCAGGCTGCTTATAACTCTGGATGTCCTATGGAGAAGAAAGATATAGGACACTAGACTTGGGATGATCAGATGTTCATAAAAAGTTATATGAGATGTGGTGATCAGTATTCATTTTACATTTTGAAAGATGATATAAAAGCAACCATGTATATTAGACACTGCATATCTTCATTCCCAGAATTACTTTCCTACAGGCATTTCTCCTCAAACAACTGAGCATAAGAAGATCCAGCACACTCCCTAAGAGTGGTGACTTTGGATGTCAAAATTTAAATGGCAAATTTTTATGAACTTGTAAGCATCATCACTAATATCTGGCATCCCCTACATTGTCTTATGCTCAAAGTGTGTTGCTCATAATTTGACTTGGTAGATCAATCCCATAAGTATTTAGTGCTATCCCTGTCAGAAGCCAGCATTTTAAACTGTTGGAAAAGCTTTCACAAAGTAATTTATATAGCACCATAAAGAATCATGAATATAAAATCAAGTGAAAAATACTGATATATATAAAAAAAAAATCTCACTTTTCCTGCCCTGCCTGTCCTGAAGTTAGCAATATTCAGGACATCCACTTTCTAGTTGTTCATGTATTTTTAGCTATTCAGTTTGGGCTGCACTTACCTGCCATGAGGAGAGACGCTCCAGTTTGATGCAGAAAGACTCGCGGCTGCTCGCTGCAGAAGATCTGATTCAGGTCATGGACTGAGCTGGAGGCTTAGCAATCTTGAGTTTGCGTAGGAGACATTTAAAAGAAACAGAGAAATTGTGTGTTCAAACTGGTGAGATGGATGGGCACTATGAGCCAGAAGCAGCAAAATCACTAGCTTCTAAATGATCTGGGACCACAATACAGGAAGCCTCACTCTACCTGCCAACACCTCCCTTTGTTTATGTAAAAGATCAGTGTAAGCTGGTACTGTTTTGTTGTTTTAATGCTAAGCAACAAAATTAATTTAAAGAAATAATTGGGAAATGGAGGAATATGAGAATTCTAAATATGTAATTTGTGTAGTGCTATTCCACATCTAAAATGTCTCTCTTTTCATAAGAAACAGTCATTATTAACATGGTGATTAACACTGATTAAAGCACTTAGCATGATTTAGCTCATTTATTTCTGAAACCAACTTAGTAAAAGATACATAAATAAACTCATTATCTAGTGAGAAACAAAGGCGTGATAGAACTAAGAAAAGTGTCTAAGATACTCACATGTGAGTCTTAGGACTTTTCACCACAGACACATGCAACTTATTTTAAATCAAGCTTTCTCCTTACAACTTTGCATTTTGTGAATTTTCATTTTCTTGGTGCAGAGTGGTCGACAATTCCATGTCTTATTCTGCTCTGTGATCCCTGCCTTCTTACCTCGGCCAGGGAAGTCAGGGGTTAAAAAAGTTAGAACAACACAGACCTCCCATTATAGTTCCATGTACACTCTCACAACACACACACACACACACACACACACACACACACACACACACACACAC